AAACAGCAAGCAGTGATGAGCAGTGAGCAATGACCCACAGCAGGAAATGACAAGTGACATCAGAGTTGGATGTGTAAGACATGTAAATAAGCCCTAGAGGTCTTCAGAAAGATGAGAGGAGGGGGATTCATTTAAGATGTTAACTTCATTTAGGGGCACCTGGGTGGCTCAGTCAGTTAAGTATCTGCCTTCGGCTCAGGTCATGATCCCCGGGTCCTGGGATCAAGCCTTGCATCAGGCTCCCTGCTCAGCGGGGAGTCTGCTTCTCCCTCTGCCTGTGCCCTCCACTCCCACTTGTGCTCTCATGCTCTCTCGCTCTCTCTCTCTTGCTCACTCTCTCTCAAATAAGTAAATAAAATCTTTAATAAAAAAAAAGATATTAACCTTGTTTAGACATGCAGAATAGGGGCTTGGGCTATGATCACCAGATAGTAAAAGGAAGAGTAAAGGCTGAAAAATAGGAAATTCAGAGGCATTCAGACAATATTGGCTATAAAGGTTATCACAGGATCCCCTTTCAAGAAAACGAGAGACTCCCGTGGGACTTCTTACATATCTCTCTGTCTCTTTCTCTCTGCATATTTTCTGTAAGGATACTAGTCATTAGAATGACAAATTGAAATTGGTGTATTCAGACAAATGGAATGAAAGTTCCTCACGCCTTCTCCCTTCTCCCAAAGTGAGTTGTATAATTATGCATAGCGAGTCAGATGAGAGTAAGAAAGCAAAAACCCTCACTCAGGCCTGGACAAAAGATAAAACAGGATGGTCAAAAGCATGATTGGTTTCCACCTTAACAGCTTACTTTCAACTCTTCAAAAACTAATAAGGAATAAGAAGCTATATTTTAGGTTAATAGTTGCATCATTATTGAAGAACCTGGCTCATATTAATGAGCCATGAGCATTTCCTGCCTTTAAAAAAAATTATAATGAAAAGAATGATTCATTGTACTTGGCATATTTTCCTCTCTGTGGTTGCATTCCACTGCAATTATACAAATATAATATAATTTTTCCAAAGGCCATGGCCACCTGACAGAAGCATTTGAAAACCAGCTATACTTCGGGCTTCCAGGTGTGTGTGTGTGTGTGTGTGTGTGCGCACACGATGAGATAGTTCAGAAGAGAAACTTGTATTTGACATCCAGAGCCTTGTCTTCCTGCTTCCAGTCACTGCCCATGGGTACTTATGCCAGTCATACCTGAATTTTGATAATATTGACTTTTCAGAGGTTCTTAAGACCTCTAACTGACAGCTGTCCATTATACCAAGAACTGTTATTTTCACAGGAAGGTCGGAAGCCTATTTCTGACTCTCAGTCAGTGTAAAGAAATGCTGCCCCAAAAAGTGAAATTCTTTTTCAAACACACTCACCCGCTAAGCACCAGAAAGAGCTTAGAGCTTTCAAAAGTGCTGTGAATCTAAAGATTCAACAGCTTTGGGAAACACAGCTTGAGAGGAAACAGGAGAAAAACAATACAAAGACAACATCAGGTGTGTGATCACACACAAGTGAGGTATCAAGATATATGACCTCATAGTTTTTGACAGGGGTTCGGAGAACCACCTAAGTTACTTGATACTGACGCTAACGAGAGAGGGTTTCAGAGCAAGTTTCAAGCGCAGAAGGAGGAAGGACTCAAACCCAAGCCCCATGGAGACTGCTACCCTGTACTCAGAACTCTGCAGGCAGTTATCTTTCCCCACCTGGCTCACAGCTTATGCTGTGATTAAACTGAACCCTTCTGACTGTAAACCCTTTTGTTCTGTCTCACTATTTCACAGAAGCTTGGTGTGTTAATCAAACTGTCATCAAAGAAAAAAAAAAGGGCACATTCCATCCAAATGAAGAAAAATTTGAGCTTTCTACAATAAACACGTTTTACAGTGGATGAGCTTTTCACAGAGTAATTATTTCACTTCTCCCAAAGATTACTGATTACATCATACAGAAATACTAAGAGAGGCCTGTTTTATCTTCCCCATCTATCTATGGTTCTTGTGCAAACTTATACTTGTTACCATGAAAAATGACAAATTTGCCATCTGATCAAAATGTTAACAAGGTAACTGTCAGTGAGATGGATCTCTGACTGTCACTGCAAGCCAGAACATGAGGATACATTGATATTTCTCAATGCAGCCACTGCTTCCCCAATGTTCACTAACAACATTTCCACGGTGAGGGTAATAAATCACCTAGAAATAACAAGCTATATAGGATCTCGGGATATGATAAATTCATCCTAACAGCACTATCTGCAAGGTAGAAAACAATTGATAATGATCTAAAGAAAGCCCTAATCAACTGCCATTTGCCATAATGGGGTAGATGAAGCAAAGATGAATCCTAACCATTTGATGCATGCAATGACAAATTTGGACTCCTCAGAGAAAAACACACAACAACAAACAAAATACAAATGCGTTAACGTTCTGGAGGATCAAATAAATGGAAGATAAAGTTAATAATATAATCCAGATACAATTTTTATATTAGACATGGGTAGGAATGAGATAATCATAGCAATTGCTGGGTTCATAAATACCCTATAGTGGAAAGTTCCTCATGACACTAATAGACTGGCTCAGTTCTTAGTTTCGTGGACTTTGTGCCAGTACTTTGATATTAAAACTCTTTAGATCACATTATTTCTGAGCCTTTAATCCAGTGGTTTAACCAGTGGAACCATTTTTGTCCCCCTAGCATTATGGTCAAGTGCCATACCAATGGAACCAAGAGAGAAGAAAAGAATAAGTCCAAGCGGAGATAAGAAAAAATGGGAACTCAAACACAAGATAGGAAAGGTCTACAGGAAGATCATGGCATCAAGTCACAAAAACAAAGAAAATATGGTTTCAAACTGCTCAAGTACTGCTCATAGCTACATTCTTAGGGTTTTAAGAGTAAGATACAATTGCATGGCAGCTATTAGTCTAATTCTTCCTCTCCTTGCTCACTACCCTTTGGCTACTCTGCCTTCTGCTGTTTCTAAAATACTCCAAGCTCCTTCCCTCCCCAGAGTCTTTGAACTTCCTCTTGCCTCTGTCAGGGATCTCTCTCTTCCCTTTTTCCCTTCCTCCAGCTTACATCTTCTCCCATGTTCTTCCTTGTCTATTCATTTCAAAACAATCTCCACTCCCAGCCCTTTTGGTCTCTATCACAGCTTCCATTTCCAAGGCAGCAAGAACCATGTCTGTCTGGATCACTGTCATTTCTAAGCTTCTAGCATGTTGGCTGTCACACAGTAGGGATTAAGCACAGCCCAGAAGCTGAGCTCTGGGATGTCAGACTGCCTGGTTTTGAAGCTTGGTGCCAGAACTCAGTAGATATGTAACCCAGTATGAGTACCCAATTTCTGTGTGACTCAGGGTCCTCGTTTGTAAAATGGGGAGAATAGCAATGCCTACTAATGACAGTGTTTTAAAGATTAAATGAGATCATGCATGTAAAAAAAAAAAAAACTTTAGATAGTATCAGGCACATTGGAATCCATTTAAATTCATTAGCTGATATTATGATTGCAAGAACAGAGGTAATTCTGACATATTTAAGTGAATTAATTCATGATAATGGATATTAGTCAACGAGCCATCTTCTTTATTACTTGTCTGTATTTTTACTATGAGCCCAAACAATACTATATTCATTCTAGTTCCATAGTCTCGGACTAAATTGAAAGAATGGATTCTGGTCTTTAAGTCCCTTTAGGGAGTACCAATAAGTACAGTCACTTCCAATATGGCAGCACTGGAAATAGCAATGCCATTGTTCATTTGGACATCTCAACAGCCTTTAATAATATATTAAAAAAAAATGGGTTCATGGGTCTATCCCCTATAAGAAACAAAGATGTTCGGCACACAAACATTTGTCATGGGCAGCAACACTGTACATTAGCTCCCATTTCTCAATGATTTATCTCTTCATCCATTCCATAATCATGCAATTGAAGGCTTCTGATGGGCCATGTAGGAGGGAAAAAATGATATTAAGACCACCTGGCTATGGAGATACCTGCTTCTAAAGAGGCCAGGTTCCAACCCAACACAAGCTGTTGACCAAATGTATTATTTCTGCAACACTGGCACAGTTTTTGAAACTTTTATATATTTATACATTTGGTTATTTATTCTTCCACATATTAGAATGTGGAGATAAAATTATCCTTAGGAAAAACAGAGGAAGGAGAAGTGGGCAACAAGTCATTAATAAAATCATTTCGGGGAGGTGGGGAGAATGGGAAGACAATGGGTCCCACTAATCTCTATGAGGGAGTAGTCCTTAAGCTTTTGGGGGTCAGAGGGCTCTCTGTCAGATTCTGCTTAAAACTATGGATTCCCAAGGCAAGTGCACATAAATGTTCATGTATAATTTTTAGGGGTAGAAGAACCTCATAAAGTCCATCGATGAACCACACACTCCAGGTTAAAAAAAACCCAAACATTCTATAAAGACTTAACATTACCCTCACCTCCTTTGCATGCAGTCATTTTGTCCTCCACTAAAAATGAGTAAAATTAAGTTTTAAAAAAAGAAGGAACTAAAATATAAGGACAGAATATTGGAGTTTAAAAGATCTTTGCTTGGTTACAATCTAAAGCTAAGGTTATTTGCTTTAACATATAATAATGCAATTTTATTAATTAAATGCAAATTGAAGTAAGATAAGACAAACCTATAGCACTATAATTTCTGAATGGGTAATAACACGTCAGTTTTTTCCCTAACAAATTAGCTGAGGCAAACTTTCAGTTACTAAATTATAGTAATAAGGGATACAAGAAAAAAATTTAACATCAGGTGCTATGAAATTATTCACATTAAGAACTTTTATTTCCGGGCCCCCAAAGCTGAGCGTTGCCAGAGAAACACCAGAGCTTGGTTCCTTAGTGGAAAAGTGAAGGCAGATTGCAGGATATCTCCCCGCCTCGGGTGACTGCATTTTTTGTGAGATTGTAAATGTACCTTGGAAGTTACAATTAATTTAAGAAGAATGGGAGAAAGCCAACCAGAAGCCTCAAATCTTCCATCAAAAGTCTGGCATTCTGAGGTGACAGTGTCAGTGATAGGCGAGCCACCCAGTGCTGTAGAAGAAAAAGAAACGGCTGAAGAAACAGACAGGGAAGTCATCCCAGAAATCATAGAGCCACTCTCCATTCTAGATGTGCTGAGGATCTCCACAGTTCTGGAAGATACCACGGACCAGCTCTCTATTCTAAACTATATCATGCCAGTTCAATATGGAAGGAGACAAAGTGTCAGCATGAAGAAAAACAAGAGCTTAGAAAAACTTTCAGAGGCCTCAAGAACCTCAAAAATATCCAGTCCATTCTTACCTAAAGAAGAAACCAAGTTGCCAGGAATCCAAAAAGGAAGCCAATTTACCAATGAGTTTAACAAAATGCAAGATCTTGTCTTCAAAAAACCTACAAGACAGACCATAATGTCCACGGAGATAATGAAGAAAATTCAGACTGATAGGCAATTTTTCAGTGATATAATTACAGATACCATGCAGGAGTTGGAAGAGTCAGGCACTTTCACCAGTCTCCTGAAAGCCCTGGGCAAAGAGAGGGAAAACAAAATGCATTTTTATGATATCATTGCCAGGGAGGAAAAAGGGAAAAAACAGATAAGATCTCTTCAAAAGCAGCTGCTTAATGTCAAAAGAGAACGGCAAGCTGAAGTACAGAGTCGGAATGAATATATTGCTCACCTCAAGGACCAGTTGCAAGAGATGAAGGCAAAAACCAACATGGAAAATCGCTACATGAAGAAAAACACTGAGCTGCAGATCTCCCAGACCCAGAAGAAATGTAACAGAACTGAGGAGCTCTTGCTGGAAGAGATAGGGAAGCTGAGGTTGAAAACTGAAGAAGAGAACAGGATTCATATGGAGATTGAAATGTTCCTTAGAAAGGAGCAGCAGAAACTTGAGGAAAAGCTAGAGTTCTGGATGGAGAAATTTGATAAGGACACAGAAATGAAACAGAATGAACTAAATGCTCTCAAAGCTGCTAAGGCCAGTGACTTAGCACACCTTCAAGAACTCGCGAAGACGATAAGGGAGTATGAACAGGTCATCATTGAAGATCGTTTAGAAAGGGAGAAGACCAGGAAAAAGATAGAACAGGATGACTTGGAATTAAAGAGCATCCTAAAGCTCCAGGCCTGGTGCCGAGGCATTAGGGTACGGAGGGAAATCGGTGGTTTCAGACTGCCGAGGAAGGACAAAGATGATGGCCAGGATTCTAAAGGTAAAGGCAAAGACAAGGACAAGCGGAAAGGCAAGAACAAGTGACGGAGTTCTCGTCTTTTGCCCTGGTCTTCTGGAGATGGCGAGGAGGACTTGAAGGGAGGAAGAACATTTTAGCAGCCCAGGTAACTTGTATCTACAGGTTGTTTCTTATTTGGACATTCCCAGGTGCTGCCTGGTTCTTTCCCTTTGCCTGTTGTATTAGTTTTCAAACCCTGAATTAGGAGTATACCATCGACTTAGGGCTGCTTCATATTTTGAAAAACTTTTGCTGGGAAGAAGTATTGCTAGGAGCCTTGTAAAGATTTCTCTTGCTTTTTCTGACCAGAAAGAAGTTCATGGGCTTATTCATTATTGTGATGCATTAAAACTTCAGTAATTTCTGTAAAAAAAAAAAAAAAAAGAACTTTTATTTCCTACTTTCTTTTTCACTAAAATAATATATTTTTCTCATTTTCAACCAGTCTAAACGTGAGGTATTTATTTTGCCTACTGTTCAAATTAAACACTGAATACTCTCAGGGGTAGATATGATCAAAATAAGAGTCCTTTAAAATGCCTGCATACAGTGTAAAAAAAACATTTAGGTATGGAAGACAAAACAGCAAAACACACACGCACATTTATGTGTTTGGAAATATACAATTAACATCCTTCATGAAATAATTTTGGGGACTCATACTACTGAAATATCCTCACATCTTCAATTGGGTAGATAAAAAAGTTATTAACAATATTCAAGTGCAGAAAACAATTAGGAGGGGGGATTATTATAGCACATTGTTTTCAAGGTGAGCAGCCAGTAATTGAGGTTTAAGAGATCCTTCAGGTAGTACTTAGTGGAGAAATGCAGACTTGGCAATGGAATCTACTTTCCATTTAATTACATTATCTGAATCAAGGATATAACTTTCACCTTCCCACAAAGCAAACTGTTTACAGAGACGACTGTTCAGGCAAGTGAGTGGAGGTGTGGAGAAATTAGGAGCTTCAGAGGACTTCAGGTGATAGGGAAGAATATAGAAAACGGACACACGCTGTAGAGAGGGAGGCAGATGCTGTTGCAAATGTTGCTGCTTCCTAGAAAAGCATGACATCGTGGGCCATCGCTCCCCTTCCTGTATTAGCCCTGGTTGATCTCTTTTGTCACTAAAGAAACATGGTGTCATCCTTAACACTGAACAAAGATACCTAACACTCAAGAATATAGAGCTTTCCAAGTTGATAAAAGGCAAAACTAAATGGACTTTGGCCATGACTGTGCTGTTGACAGAAGAAGGATAGAGAGTTTCCAGGGGAAATGATTTTCTTCGGTGTTCTTACTAGGTCAGCAAACCCCCATTCTTTTCAAACTTTCTTCATCTCTTGCTTATTTTGGAATCCACATACGTTGGATACAGTGATGTGTCGGGGTTGGTTTGTACTGACTCATAAGGAGCTATTTATAGAATTTTCAGAAATTTTGTGAACCAGTTGCTTAAAAAGCCATGAAAAGTTAAACTTTGTAACTTGTAATTAAATAAACATTAACAGCAACGACAGTATTTAAAAATCCTCACTTCCTAATGATTTCACCGTTCTCTGTGCTTCTTCAGTATTCATGTCTATTTTATTTGTATAGTAGAAATCCCATACAATAGTGTGCTACTGCACATCTCTTTCTAACTCTGCATAGCGATGTCTAGTTTGCAGTTTGAAATCAGCCATCATGGGAGTATTTATATGATGGAATTGGCAAACACTACAGGTTTACTATTTGGTTGGTTATCTAGTCTGAAGGAAGTGATGGATAAGCTATGAACGCAGGTTAAACTTAAAAGTGTTTTGTGTTTTTAACTGTTACATTGTGAACAGCACTGAAAATTGAGAAGATATTCTTCCAGTATTCTAAATCTATGACCTCATTCAACAAAAAGTCACTCGTGTTATTGACTAATGAGTAATGTTTTGGCATATTTCTTCATTTTTCCACTTTTGTCTTAGATATTAATGTAAACAAAATATCAACTAGCATTCACGTCAGACATTTGCTGAACTGGATAGTAACCCAGCATTATTTCTCATCTGAATTTCTCAAACTGTGGCTGAATTGCAACCACAAGTTGACTAAAAATATAAGAATTCAGCCAACATCAACAAAAGCAGTCTGTGAGAGTAAAAATGTGTGGTGCTATGCATACTTTATATCAGTAAAATTTTATAATAAACTTCTATGTATATAGGAAGATACATTCACATACAAATTTTTTTCCCTGAAGGGATGATTGTTAAACATTTACCAGCACACCACTGGATATAAATACAAAAAATATACTTAGTAAAAGATGATCATTCAACTTTCCTACAGACAACTTCATTATGGTTGGAAACTAGAGGCTAGGAGATTTGCTGGGTCATTATTTGCTATACCATTTACTTCCCCAAACAGCAAGGCTACCACATCGGTGACAGATGTGAATCCTCCTTCTGTTATTTTGAGGGTAGACAGGGGAGTCCTGCTAGGGGATGGCAGGGAAATTCGTGTTTAGCAGGGAGGAAAGAACAGGAGAAGTCAACAGGCTGTCAGTTGCCAGTGGACTGCTGAGAAGTAGCTACCGGACATAATAGAAAGTATTCAAACAAAATATCATTAATGTGAAATCTTTGGGAGAATATGTACTTTGTCTGTGTTGAGATAATATTAAGAGATCCTGTTTGGTATTTGGTTATATTCAAATTAGTTTAAGACTGTAATGCATTTAATTTTAAAGACAGAAAAGACCTTAAGCCAATGTTTCCTTGCAGTTTTACGTTTTAGAAAACAGCAAAAAAAAAAAAAAAAAAACACACACACACACCAAATCAACAATTAAGCAAAACAAAAATGGGATACCAAAACAGACATGCTGTTTTGTTGTTGTTGTTGTTTCCAAATAAAGATATTTTTAAACCCTTCTGTTATTAGCCTCATGCCCTTAAGAAAGTTCATCAGTTGGCCATGAGGGTCACTCAGGAGTTAAGAGGTACCCAAAGTTCATTTACTACCAACATTCAGAAGGGGAAACAGGAAAAGCATTGGGTCCAGCCGATGCAAGCCACATCAGCCTTGTCCTGGCTGAAGTTCAGCTTCAACTATACAAATACTGCCTAAAAAACACTAAGAACCAACGAGCACAGGGACTGCCATGTGTCCTCTCTGTTCCAGAGTCTGAAGGAAGCAGTAACCTCAGGAAAATCAATCCAAAGGGCTTCTAGAAAAGAACATCAAGCCCATGCTACTTGGTGCTATATATTTTTTTTCTTTTAAACTATTGACCTCTGAGATTTGATTTACTCCAAGCTCTTCTGAGCATCTGTAATAGAACAAAACGCAGCAGCTGCAGCCTATTGGGTTTTGCTTTAGTAGAGTGTAGTGCTCTGTCTGATCATCGCTTTCCAAGATCCAGCTTCACATCCTAACTTCATCTTCCTTGCAAAGCTTTGCTACTTTGAATGCTGCTTTTTTTTTAGGCCCTGAAGTATAGATGCCTGGGGTCACCAACAGTTGGATTTTTTCTTTGACTTCCCTCCATGGAAGGACATGAACACTGCTTTCATTTACCAAAAGAAATCAGCTTTCCACTGGGGATTGCAAGCACGTGCCAGGTTCCCCATTGTGGCTCATAAGAACTCACACACACTCAGGGTGAGTAAAACCAGCGGGAGGCAGGTCTCAACCAAGAAGACATTTGCTAGTTTTCCTTGAAATTTTCAAACCTCTGACCCTAAGAGAAGGCAAAGCCAGGCATTTATACTTGCGAGGACAGGAAGGTGATGGGATCAAGGCAAAAAGACACATTTGAGGGAAAGCATTCTACTGGGCAAACTGACATGGAGGTTCTAAGGCAGCTTTTCCTACCTGTGAAAGCAAGAGCATCACAGTGCCTTCCTACGGCTCCATGGTTACACGTAACATTTTCTACCACATGAAGACAGTACCAGAAGGCAAGGAACGCCATGTTCTTATCACATCTGACAGTGTGGAGATCCACTCTTCCCCAAAGTTGTCATTTGGGAAATGAAAGAGAAAGAGAGAGAGAGAGAGAGAGAGAGGGAGGGAGGGAGGGAGGGAGGGAGGAGGGAGGAAGGAGGAAGTTGGAAGGAGGAAGGAGAAAGGAGGAAGGAGGAAGGAAGGAAGGAAGGAAGGAAGGAAGGAAGGAAGGAAGGAAGGGAAAAGCAAGTACCCCCCATTCTCAACTCCCTTAGTTCCCACCAATTCATTCTCACAAGCCTGAAGCCATATTTCGCCTGAGCATCTCAGCTCATAGAGCTCAATGGAAAGAAGGAATTGCACTCCCACTAATTGAGGACCAGCTATTTCCTAGGCACTTTGCAAGTACTGTGCCATTAATTAATGCTCCCTATAGCCTTATAAGGGCAGCATTCGAATCCCTGCTTTATAGATCAAGAGAGTAAGGCTCCCTCACTAAGTAAATATATATTTATTGAGCATCAGCTACTTGCCAGAAATCATACTGCACAGTTTCCAGAGAAGAGAAAGATGTGGCCCCTCACCTTGCGGAATTTCCAACCCAGGGGAGCTCAGAGAAGCAAGTGCCTGGACAGTCAGTAAGTAAACTTCTGGCTGTCTGGTTAAATAAGGAGGAGGCAGGGAAAGAGGGGACAGTATGAGAAGATAAGAACAGAAAGAAAGGGAAAGGAAAGCAGAGAAGAGAGGAGAGGAGAGGGAAAGGGAAAGGAAAGGGGAGGGGAGGGGAGGGGAGGGGAGGAGAGAAAAGAAAAAACAAGTTGCCTAAGGATGCCCACATAATAAGATGAAGAACCCAAATTTGAATTCCAGACTCTTCACTCTCCACTTCACCAAGTCATATAGCCTTACCGCCCTGCTGATTTCTGAGAAAAACAAAGAACGAGATAAAGAACAGTAGCGGAGGAATCTGTTCCAGAGCTCAATTTCGTTCACTGGCGTCTAAGCATCATCTTTGGGGCAAGGGCTTCCTTTCACAGCTGCGAGAAGAACAGGGCCTGAATTCCAGATTTGAGATGAGGACTAGAAAGTTTCAGAA